CATGAGGTCTCATAACCCTGCTCCTCTGGGAAACCACCCAGTCCTGGGCTCCCATCAGTCCTGTTCCAGCCAGTCTCCAAGGTGCCCAAGCCACAGCCACAGGGTGCAGGCAGTGGGGGACACAGTCTGCAGGCACCAGGTGGTTGCAGCGTTCTGCAGGTGCTGTTGTCCCCAGGAAATGGGGACAGCCTCTCTGAAATTGGACCTGGTCCCTCTGCTGCTCATGGGCCCAGCTGCAGAGGGTGCTGGAGAGTTCCAGTCCCTGGAGCAGTGCGGCTCCAACCGCGGATGGATGATGGGGCTGGAGAACACCCACCACGGCCGTGGAGGGGTATTGGGGCATGTCGTGTGCTGTCTCCCAGGTCCCCAGGCACAGACTTGGTGACAGTTTTTGCCCCAGACCCGGCCTCACATCAGCCTCTGCCCAACTCAGGGCAGAGCAGGACAGGAGAGCCCCCCCCCACCAAGCCAGTCCTAGCGGTGGAGGCAGGAAGCTCCTTCCTCGGGGAAGCAGGGGGCACTCCTAGGACAGAGGCCCAGGTCTGCCTGACTGTGCCCAGGGCACCTCCAGGCCTCCTGACGACAGCAGCGTGGGTGCCGCCATCCCTGGGCCAGGTCCTGGCCTGAGAGGTGGGAGGTGGGGGGACATCTCTAGACCCCCTCCCAGTGACCTCCAGGCACAGGAGCCCCCAGGACACACTCTGAAAGCACAGGGGTCTGAGAGTGGCCCTGGCATCTCATTTGTCCCCCCACACCTCCCGCAGGTCCTGCCCGCCCAGCCCCACCTGCTCAGACACAAGACACCCCCTCGGGTCTGAATTTCAGATAAATATTGCATGGTACATACTTATATTGATAAATCACGGTTGAAATTCTAATTCTACGTGCATCCTGTGTCTTTACCTGCTGAATGCTACTTAAAAGTGCCNTGAAATTCTAATTCTACGTGCATCCTGTGTCTTTACCTGCTGAATGCTACTTAAAAGTGCCCATATTTGTAAGGGGGATACTTACCACATGTTGATATGACATCTGACTTTCTTGCAGGGTTTCTTCAAGCGGAGCCCCTCAGTGCAAGACCCTCAGGTGTCAGGGGACAAGATGACCCAAAAGGCAGTCTCCACTTCCTCCACAGAGGCTCAGCCCACGGTGCCCCTTGGGCTTCCCCCCAAACAACCCAGGCAGAGAGGGACGCAGGTGCTGGCTGGAGGGTCTGGGGCTGATCCTAAGGCTCCGAAGGCTACCTGGGCCAGTGGGCAGGGGCAGAGCCAGCACCGTCCCTGGGCAGCTCAAAGGCATCCTAGGAGGAGAAGCCCAGTGCTCGTCTCTGAGGGCAGGAGCACAGCCTCGCCCACCCCGCCCAGACCCAGGCCCTGCCCCTCGTCTGTCCCCAGCCCCTGCCCTCCATCCTGCTGCGGGGCCTGGGGCGTGGTCCTGGCCTGGGTCTGTGGATCCTGGGCTCATCTCAGCCACACACAGGCATGGGATGGGGTCCCAGTGGCCACGGCTGCCTGTTCCCTCCCGTGTCCTCCCCAGAGCCCCGGTAGAGAGGACAGCAAGTCTCCCAGAAACAAGCTGAGAGCTGCAGCCTCGTTTGAGAGAGAGACACAGGCTCCTTCTGAGGGTAGAGGGGGCTTCTCGGGGCAGCGGCCGGGGAAGGGCCCTGGGGTGGTGTCAGTGGGGGTGACCGCAGTGTAACGCCGTCTCTCCCTGCACCCCTGCCCCAAGCACAGGCCCCCACGCTCAGGGCCCACCAGGCCCGGC